TTTTAGCCCGAAGGCGACTCAGGGCGGCGCATAGACTGGCAACAATTAGATGCTGAACGCACAAAAATACAGATTAAAACAGGTTAAATCACATAATAAAATTCAGATAAAAACAATTTAAAACTATAAAAATAAATGACTTCCGGGTTTAAATCCATGTCCATTTGCATTGTTAAGCTGTTCCATATTCATTCACAATACTGAGTTTATCTGGTTACAATGAGGTTCCAAAAGTTTTCTCAAAGAGCCAGGTTTTTACTCTTTTGCTAAAGGTCACGAGGGAAGGGGCCAATCTAATATCCCCAGGAAGGGAGTTACACAACCGAGGGGCCACCACTGAGAAGGCCCTGTCCCTCGTCCCCACCAAACGCACCTGTGAGGCAGGCGGGATCGAAAGCAGGGCCTCCCCAGATGATCTTATATTCCTGGAAGGTTAGTAAGGGGAGACATGTTCGCATAGATAAGTTGGGCTGGAACCGTTGCTGGCCATATGACCTTGGAGGTGTATATGGACAACGACAGCACTTCGTCTTAGAAATGGAGATAAGCACCAACCCCCAGAGTTGGACATGGCTGGACTTAATGTCAGGGAAAAACCTTTACCTGCCATTACCTTATTCTGGTGGATTTTAGTTGATTAAAACTGTGCCTTTCTCCTGAAGAATTGACCCCCTTTGACACTGCCATATAATCCAGTTTCTGAATTCAAATTATCTGCTTTGAACTGGATTATATGGCAGTATACACTCATATAATCCAGCTCAAAGCAAAGAATCTAGATTCAGGAACTGGATTATACGGCAGTGGAGATCCAGCCTAAGATATTTATATATTTTCCATCACATACCACATTCTGAGTGTTTGGGTGTGAGAAGGTTTCTGTATGAATGGATTGCGGCCTTTCTAGCACAGATAGAAGACTTTAACGGCATCTCTGCTGCAAGAGTGAGACTGAAGAGCATAAGAAGAGCCCTGATCGCTTGCGGTAAAATTAAATTGGTCTAGTATTTTGTAAAGACAGAAGCCTATCAAATTGCTTATGGTAAGCCTACTAGCAAGATACTTGCTTCTCTTCCACCTCGGGGTCAAGCTCATGCTCTTCATGTTTACTGAATTACTGAGTGTGCAGCCTCTTTGTCAGTCATGGAGGCATGCTGCAAGGGCTCTCCTTGAACTGTACACTTCTAGTTGCCTTCCAGTATGGTTTGCAATGTGAAATCTTTTACAGGCAGCCCCCAAGTTACAAACAAGATCAGTTTTGTAAGTCTATTCTTAAGTTGAATTTGTATGTAAGTTGAAACAGCCTCATTTTAAAAGTGTAACTCCAGAGACAGAAAGAGAGAGATATATGCTTTGGATCATATAGGGAGTTGTTTCTCTTGCTCTCTGTGCCTCTGTTCAGAAGATTTCCCCTCATTTTCTGTCCCTGTTATCATTGGATTTTGAGAATTGTGGCTTGTTGTGGAAACAAGGACTGGAGATAAAACTTCATTGGAGACCCCTTTCCCCCCTGATAATAACCCTTCCAGGAGAGGATTTCCCTTCCTTCCGAGGGGGAGATTTCTCTCACTTCCTGTTGTCTCAGCCCTGTTCTTGTTATGTATTTATGTGTTGACCTCCTTTAATCTCCATTTACTGGCGTGCATAAATGATCTCATGATATTGTTATGTATTTTCTAATGGGGCCATATATCATTAGGAGGGGAAGACATCAGGATTCTAGAGATGCTTAGGTGGGGCATGGGCAAAACAAGGTTGGGAACCACTGCTCTAGATGGAGGGAAGCCATGATGCCCCTTCTCTTCTGCTTTGATCAGATTTCACTGTGTCAAGTTCTGGTCACCACAATTCAGGAAGGATGTTGACAAGATGGAATATTTCCAGAGAAGGGCGACCAAGAAAGGAAGGAAGCGAGGGAGGACGGAGGGAGAGGAGGAAGAAAGAAAAGAAGAAGGAGGGACGCAAAGAAGGAGGCAAGGAAGAAAGGAAGAAGGGCATGAGACGGAGGGAGGAGGGGAGAGAGAGAGGAAGGGATGGAAACAAGGAACGAAGCAAAGAAGGGAGGGAGAGAAGGAAGAAAAGAAGGAGGAAGGAAAGGAAGGAGGCAAGGAAGAAAGGGAGGAAGGGATGGGACTGAGGGAAGGAGATGAAGGGAAGGAGGGAAGGAGGGAAGGAGGGAAGGAGAGAAGGAAGGAAGGAAGGAAGGAAGGAAGGAAGGAAGGAAGGAAGGAAGGAAGGAAGGAAGGAAGGAAGGAAGGAAGGAAGGAAGGAAGCTTTTCCTTGCGTTGAGCTGCTGTAAGCTTCGCTCTAAAAGTCAGCCATAGTAAACCAGGATATTTTTTTTTGTTTTGAAAACACAGGTTGCATTGACACAATGAAATTAAACTGTCCTGGCTCAGTGCAATGGCATCCCGGGAGTTGTATTTTGCAAGGTCTTAGCTTTACAGACCATATTTTAGTTCTCAGGGACCACTGGTGGTCTGCAGACCACAGGTTGGGAACTACTGCTCTAAGGGAATCAGTAAGCCTTTTGCCTTACCTTTGTTTTAAATATTATCCTTCTTAGATATGGTAGTAATGGTTTTTAGATCTTACTGTGGTCACTTGAATACAAGGGGAACTTCCTTCCATGTCGCCCTCGTTAGACACCATCAAAACTTTCTTAATATTGACTCAGCTGCCTATTCAGACACATGCTTCTCAATACTTGCACTTTCACGCTCCAAAACCTGTGTGTTTGCATGTATATGAGCAATACAAACAGAAGTAGCAGTTTTATTTACACCTTTCACACCCTGAAGCCTACAGGATCGCAGGTATTTCAGCAGTTTCAACAGCGGTCGCAGTTTTATTTGCATTTTCACATTTTGAAACTCCCCTGCTTGCCAGCATTTGATCGGCTTGAATGGCAGCAGCACATTTATTTATGAAGCCTATGTGTTGGGAGATAATTGAACGGTTTTACTGGTGTCTCCCTCATCCAGGCTTTTATTTTTATGTGATTAAGCACAGGACTCTTCTCTGTTCTCATACGACTCAGTAATTTTTCTCTTCTTTTTAACCAAGTCTCCTGATACTGCCATAATTGCTAAGTATCCATGCTCTATAAATTCTGGAATAAATTACTGTAATGAGATAGACAGAGAGAAAAATTCTCATCCAGCTAGCAAGACAGGAGAAGACAAAATGAAGGCAAGAGGGACTAACCCAAAGGTTGTGGGTTGCTCTTTTTGCCTTGCTTGGAATGGCAAATGGCTTAAATTAGGAGGAAAGCGCCTCTTGTTTTAGTTCTCTTATTCTCCAAAGAGATGACCATTAGCTTACTGTTACTCTCACCAACAAGGAAACCAAAGAGTAAAGCAATCTTGGCTGCCATACAAATTAAGCAACTGTTTTCACAGAGACATAGGGATTAATTTAAGGAAATCTCTTCACAGCAGAGTGATAAATATTGAAGGGCAGCTGCTCATCAGCAGCCCCTATGGCCATGCCCTCGAGGAGTGTCAAAAATGCAAGTAAAAATCATAAATCTTAGTTGGAAATTATCCAGAGGGTTATCTAGTCTATCCCTTACCACCGAAAGCATCACTGAGAAACTGGAATCCAGCCTCTGGTTAAAAACCTCCAATGAGCAAGGGATACCTTATTAAGAATCATGGACAACAGATCTTAATGCTGTTGTCCTATTAATATTTACTTCGAATCTCCATTCCTGTAATATGAATCAATTCAATTTGGTCTAGATGCTGTAGTAACAGAAATAAAGTTTGCTACATCCTCCCAGTTTCATGACATCAAAGAGAGGCTGATCAGGTTTAAGCAATCCCACCAACCATTACACTGTCCTTCTGATGCAACAAATAATCATAGAATCATAGAGTTGGAAGAGACCACATGGACCATCTAGTCCAACCCCCTGAAATGCAGGAAAAGCACAATCAAAGTACCAATTACAGCGACATATAACCTTCAACATATTGCAAGGGACTGCAAAACTCTGGAGAGGAACATAAGGAATCTTGAGCACACGTTGTTATTTTATCTATCCTTCCTGCTGAAGGATATAGACCAGGAAGAAGAATGCCAAAAGTGAACAACCATTTCCGCAGATGGTGTCATCAATGATTTGGCTTCTTGGGCCATGAACTTTCATGCAGAAGGCCTTCTAGCAACTAAAGGCCTTCTAGCAAATCTAAACTAGATTTAGGCAATGTAGAAGGTATGTTAGTTTAAAAAGGGAAAGGTCTATTCTCCTAGGTAATACAAGTAGTCCCCAAGTTATGAACATGATAGGTTCTGTAGGTTTGTTCTTAAGTTGAAGTTGTTTCTCAGTTGGAACAGGTACATTTTTGAAGTGTAACTCATATATCTCTCTCTCTCATTCATACACACACACCCACCCACCCCAACACATATATTAACCTCCTTTTCTGTCCCTATGATAACTGGATTTGGAAAAATGTGACTTGTTGTGAAACCAAGGATTGGTGAGATGCTTCAGTGGAGACCCTCCCCCCTCCCCCACCACCGAGAAATCCACTCTTCTAGGAGTGGCTTTCCCGTCCAAGGGGGAGATTTATATCACTTCCTGTTGTCTTAGCTCTCTTCTTAACTCTGAGTTGAATGTAAGTCAGATGTCTGTAACCTGGTAACTGCATCCATTGTATTTTCAACTGTATTGCATATATATGAGTGAGAGAGAAAAAATGAATGAAAATAAATAAAATGCAATCAAAATTGTTTTTTCCCTCTAGATGTTTTAACTGCAGCTCCCCTATCACTTGAGGACTTCTTGTTATCAGCCACCTGGTTATGGCTTCTGGGAACAAAAGGTAAAGGTTCCCCAAGCCCTCTTAAATGAAAATTAAGATTCTGAGAATACAAGCATATCTTTATACAGATATGCTTGTGCAGCTATTGATGTTGTATGTTGTCCATCGCTACAACTAGAGCACACTTAGAAGAAACAGCTTTACCAGTTCACTGTTTACCCATCTCACCTGGCATGCCATGTACAAGATCCCCACATAGGACCAAGAATTTTGGTTTAGGGTTCAGTTGGTTAATGGCTTGCACTGCTTGCTGAGTTAATTTGAGCTCCTCCTCCCATTCGTCGCCTCCACTATTGCAGTCACCAATGGCATAAGCTTTCATCAATCCAAACTGCGGATCAGCTCCTTGAATAAAGTAGAAAGGGGCTTTCCATTCTCGTTCTGCATCTAAAACAATAAATTGGGTGAAATGAATGTATCTCCATAAATGTTTTTAAAAGTATGCCACATCTTACGGTAATTATAAAGTACCAGCAGTGATTTTGTAGCAATGTATAATACAACACTGTCTTTAACCATTTGCATGTGTTGGGTGTGTGAATTACGTTGTAAGGGCAGTCACCAAGTTATGAACAAGATAGGTTCTGTAGGTTTGTTCTTAAATCCAATTTTTATGTAAGTTAGAACAGGTACATTTTTGAAATGTAACTCCAGATATACACACAAACACACACAATAAAAGTGAAAAAATATGTATGTGTGCAAGTGGCCCACTTCCACAGACAGGCTCTCACTTCCACAAACAGCTTTAACCCACAGTGCTGAGGGGCCACCAAAAGCCCTCCCTCCAATGACATTTCAGGTTATAGCAAGTTTCATGCACATGTAGCCCAACCCCTGCCAATGTCCTCCCCGAACACTATACTGCCCACCATGCAAGGAATGCTTTTATTCAGAGACAATTTCATCCTCAGTTTTACGTGTTCTCTCCACAACAGACATCCCAGTGTTTCTTACTCTCTCCATTGGTGTGGAATTTGCATGATCCCACCCACTGCCTTAACCCTTTCCTACTCTTTTCAACTGTCTGCACAATAAACAGAGCAGACTGTGCAAAAAGAATCTGTGAACCCCACCTCCTCCAAGACAAACTGAACCACTTAAATTAGGCTTTACTGGCCAATGGAGACTCCACCACAGACATCAGAAGAGCTGCAAGATTGAGAACAAGCCAAGAGAGTAAAGACAAAGATCCACCCAGAGGAAAAGTGTTCTTGCCATACATCAAGGGAACCACTTACCGCAAAGTGAAGCTGATGAGGAAACACAACATATAAACTATCTACAGACCCACCAAGAAAATCCAACAAATGCTACATTCAGCAAAGGACAAGAGGAATCCTCTCACTTCTGCAGTCTACCGTGTACCATGGAGCTATGGACAAGTCTACATAGGGACCACCAAATGGAGCGCCCAAACACGAATTAAGGAACATGAAAGGCACTGCAGACTACTTCAACCAGAGAAACCAGTCATAGCAGATGAACCAACCTGGACAAAGTATATTATTTGAGAACACAGAAATTCTGGACCATTCTAATGTCAGACTACACAGAGAAGCCATTGAAATCCATAAGCATGTGGACAATTTCAACAGAAAGGAGGAGACCATGAAAATGAACAAAATCTGGCTACCAGTATTTAAAAACTTTAAAATTACAACAGCACAACAACAGAGAGAAGTATTAAAAAAAACTCTAAAAGCACAACAGTAAAACAACACTCAAATACAGGGGAATTCCAGAGGGGAAACAATCAGGGAAAGCTAATCACCTCTCAACTTCCATGACTAATAGAAAATACTGGAAGGATTTATTTATTTATTATTTATTTATTTAGAACTTTTATATACTGGTCTTCTCGACCTCCAAAGAGAGACTCAGGCCGGTTCACAACAAAAGATTCACAAGCAATAGATTAAAAACATTTACTGGGCCTTGACCTTGAGTTTTGGAGTTGTAGTTCACCTATCTCCAGAGAGCGCTGTGGACTTAATGATGGATGTGGACCAAACTTGCCACGGATACTCAATATTGCCAAATGTGAACACTGGAGTTTGGGGAAAACAGACCTTGACATTTGGGAATTGTAGTTGCTGGGATTTATAATTCACCTATAATTGACGGTTGGAAAAATGGCAGCGGAGCCGGAGCCACGACTTTTCACTCGCTAATCATCAAGCAGCATAATTAGAGAGGAATACTGACAACAAACTGATAAGTCACTGCCAAATCACTCTTATCTTGGAGGGAGTTTTGGACTTAACCAGCAACACTCTATTAATCAACCTGAAGAGAAATAAACGAAGAAATAAAACAAGAAGGGTGAGAAAACAAGCTGACCTGTTTAGCTTTCTATGGCTTCTGGAAGCTGAAGCAGCATTTGTCCTATAAATTGTCCTATAACCGTTGTTGTGGTTTCTGCAAAGCACTACTCTACTCCTGCTATTCTACTACAGGGTGGAAGGCTGTGATTTCCTCCCCCTGTCTGCATTCCTAGCCCTGTGGCTGCAGTTTAAAACGCTGCCGTTTGTTTGTTGTGAGAGTTACCCTGTGCTGAAAAGGAGTTGAAATAAAGGCAAAAGTGAAAGGGAGTAAGAAGAAGTTGCAAGGTGCAAGGAATAAGAATAATAAACTAAGACAGTGACTGAAGTTCAAGGGTAGATTCAGCTGACCTCTCACTGAAGAAGCAATTGACACAAAAAGTTGCCAGTCAGTGAAAGTACATCAACTACTGGAGATTACTCCACCTACAATCGAAGAGCATTCTGACCCCACCAATGATGGAATTGGACCAAACTTCCCACACAGAACCGTCATGACCAAGAGAAAATACTGTGTTTTCTGGTGGTGCTTGGTGACCCCTCTGACACCCCTTTGCAACTCCCCCCCCCCCCCCCCCCCCAGGGTTCCCTACACTGAGAATCCAGAAGCAGAGCATTTGTGGAACAGTGGAAGCTTTCCTTGTTTGATTGCACCATCTCAATTATATTACTCTGTTTGGCTTTTAAGATGGATTTTTTAAATTTTAACTCTTAAAATAGTTTTAACCCACTATTAAGAATGTCTTTATCTCTTTAACTGCAAAAAAATATTGGGAGTTATGTTGTCAGAAATACAATCAATCTATCCACTGCTGTTTGTGTGCTGCAGTAAGAGAAGCACACTGCCTCCTACGATGGAGGAAATAGCATGGCCATCTTGACTAAGGAGAACTGAGCCATCCACGAGAGCAGCTACAACTACAACTTGAGGAGATAAGTTTTATAATTTGAGACTACACACTAAACAATGAGTATAGTACTCTTGTCCTGAAAATCAATTAAGAACTTTCCCCTTCATCTGTAGCAAAAGCTTTTTGAGAATCGACAAGTAGAAGCAAGAATAGTTGAAAAGATTATCTGAATTGCTCTTTCACTGAAGGCATTTTAAGACACCATATACCTTCCTCTCCCTTCTCAGTCAAAAAGTCATTAGATTGAACGTCAATTAAGAGTCACTTTCCTTGTAAATTTTCTGATTCACTGCTGTTAGGAAACGTATTTCTCCAAACAGGCACGAAGAGCTGCATCACTCCACCTCCCTTTGATAGCACTGCATTGAGATGCATCATACGAGACAAAAGGGCAAAAATCAAACACACTAGAGAACTTGTTGTGTATCATGTACTCTGGTGGAGAAAATAACCAATATTTGAAGCTGAAAGAATCCAAATCAAAAAAGCCTGTGTGAATCTGTCACAATTCCAAAGTGGGAGACATTTTTACTCCAAGGATAAGCCAGACACAATGGACAGACTTCACTGGCTGCTTTGCAACCTGCAGATTACTATCTAGTACCAGCTGAAACATAAGCCTTCCCCATTTGCATGGCATCTACCTGTCAAAAGTACCTTTGCATCCTAATATTCAGGAGTAACGAACTGCAGCATGTTTTCCGTTTCTATCAAATTCCTGATTGACAGACTTGGTTTTATCGGAACTATGCCACGAGTCTTTGATTTCACTGATTATTTAATGTTCTATATTTTAATGTTTTAATATTCTTATTTTTATATATTTGATCTCTCATATACAACTCTGAGATACTGTTGTTGCTCCCAGGTGTTGTTGGGGACACCTGCTCGGTCCCACAGGGTTCTGTATTGTCCCCCATGTTGTTTAACATCCACATGAAGCCACTGGGAGAGATCATCTGGAGTTGTGGAGTTCAAAGCCATCTGTACGCATATGATGTCCAACTCTACTACTCCTTTCCACCTGCTGCTACAGAGGCTGTCCAGGTCCTGAACCAGTGTGTGGCAGCTGTGATGGTCTGGATGAGAGCGAACAAATTGAAACTGAATCCAGACAAGATAGGAGGTACTCCTGATCAGTCGAAAGGCCGAACAAGGTATACGGTTACAGCCTGTGCTGGATGGGGTTACACTCTCCCTGAAGTCACAGGTTCACAGCTTGGGAGTGATCCTGGACTCATTGCTGAGCCTGGAATCCCAGGTTTTAGGGGTGGTCAGGGGAGCATTCGCAAAATTAAAACTTGTGCGCCAGTTGCACCTGTACCTTGGGAAGTTAGACTTGGCCATGGTAGTCCATGCTCTTGTTACATATCAAATAGACTATTGCAATGCACTCTATGTTGTGTTGCCTTTGAAAACTGCTCGGAAGTTTCAAGTAGTCCAACAGGCGGCAGCCAGGTTGTTCATTGGAGTGGCATACAGAGAGCATACAACCCCCTGTTACATCAACTCCACTGGCTGCCAGTCTGCTACCGAGCACAATTCAAAGTGCTGGCTATAGCCTATAAAACCCTAAATGGCTCTGACCCAGTTTACCTGTCTGAACATATTTTCCTCTATGAGCCTGTTCAAGAATTAAGATCTGCAGGGGAGGCTCTGATCTCGGTCCCACCCACTTCGCAGGCGCAACTGGTGGGGACGAGAGACAGAGCCTTCTTGGTGGTGGCCCATCTTCTGTGGAATTCCCTCTGAAGTGATATCTGATTGGCCTCCTCCATCCTAATCTTTTGCAAAAAAAAACCCCCCACAAAACCATTAAATCCTGGCTGTGGAAGCAGGCCTTTGGCGAGTAGAAAGTGCAATAGACCCTCACAGATGCAACATAGGAAACAATCAAGATGACGATTTCAGGATTGGTGATTTGGCTACATGTTTCAACTGGTTTTAATTGTAATGTATATGTTTGTTGATTTTAATGATGTATTGTGTTTATTGTATAACTGTGGCATTGATTTTTTGTCAAAACTTGTAAGCCGCTCAGCAACCCCCTCAGGGTGAGAAAAGCGGGGTAGAAATAAAGTAAGTAATAAATAGTGTTTTAGCAAAGGTAGAGAAGCATGCAAATTTTCTGCTTCAGTTTCATCAAACATTA